GAARCACCACCAAAGGCTATAAATGAGCTATTTTGCAAAACGCATATCTCCTTTAGGAGACTAAACTAACAAAAAGGAAAGGCTGCTGACAGTATTTGCCTCTGAGGYATTCTTTTGTTGGTTTAAGGATGTGATTTCTTCTCAGCGTTCCAAAGCGTGCAGCCCCCCGGCCAGCAGGCCCGGGCAGCTCCTTTGCTCGGCAGCGCAGCGCCCGCCTGGCAGACCCGGGCGAGACCCGGAGGCCGCAGTGCCCCCGCAGAGCAGGGGCATCCGCAGCCACTCGCCCCCGGGCAGGGCTGCAGCCTCTGGGCACCGGCACAACCAGCAGCTCAGGGAACATTGCCACTAGAAGATTTGATCCCAGCGGAAGGCACTGCAGGGGAACATCTTTATTTTTAGCCCTGCTCTCTATAGGGGAACATATTCCATTAAGGAAGCTTCCAGCTTCCATCTGGACAAGTTGGGAAATGGAACTTTCACGGTGTTCAGATGGAAAAGGGCCCGGGGGGGGGAGGTCTCTCAGTGCGCTCACCCACTGCGGCTGCAGCAGCAACATGCTTTGAGGAAGAACCTCGTCTCAGCCTTCCCACCAGCAAAGAGCAACTGCAAATGGTTTAAAATAATGGGTTATTTTAAGAACTCACTTTAACAACACACATCTTTATCTGAGAACGCAAATGACTGAAGCGGAAGTCATGATATTTTTGCTTTGCTTGTCTCCTCCACCTGACAGAACTGGAGTAAGGGGTTCATGATGAGCAGCGTTTCATCCTACCTGGGTAAAATGCAAGGGTGTTGCCCCATCCGTGCTCTACATGTCCCCAAGCCCCTTCCCTCCTGCCACAGCATGTTATGACTCCAGGTGCAGCTGATGCACACCCCTGGCTCAGACGCTTCTGCTTTTCCCAGACACTGTGCACTGTTATGCAACTTCCAATCAACACCAAGAGCCACCAAACCATCCACCTCTGGACTCGTGTATTACAAAGTCCAAAGCACCTGATCCTTGCCCGCGGATGGGACATGTGGAAGTGAGGCAAATCCTTCCCCTTCGTCAAAATGAGTACCAAAACACTATGAAACATTTGGGAAACGTCACTAACAGGCAGAAATGCGTGTTTCTGTGTTTTGTCTCAAGCTTCCCCGCTACTTTGTACAATGCAGTATGAGAACCACAGCTCGGCTCAGGTTGGGAGGTACCTCTGGAAGTCGCCCAGCCCAAATTCCAGCTCAGAATGGGGCCGTGTTTAAAATTACATCTTGCACAAGAGCCTTGCGCTSATCATATTTGAACATCTTCTTCCAAGGTAAATCAGATTAAATGAAATAAAACAGAATGGGGGGAAAGAAATGTAGCGCCTGCATGTCATATTTTTCTTCTGTTTTTCACCATGGAAAATCTGCCCAGCCTTCTTTTGATAACTCCACTAAAACACTAAAGCRCTACAGTGCATCCCAGACCTTGGAGAAGCACTCGAGCCAACTGATGGTGACACATCCCTCCTCATCTATCTTCCCCCTTACCTTGCTGATAAAGTACAATCTTCTTAATAAAAATTGAGAGGTTATATTTAGACRCAAGAAATTTTGCCTGCCCTGCAGTAGGGCAACTGTCATGGCTAGAAGAACATCCCGATAAAGAGCTGCACTGAAACTGATGCAAGTTAGATGGCCTGCTGCTCCCTGCGAGCACTAGCAGCACTTTCCCGGCCGGCAGTGCAGCTCTCCCTCTGCTGGCACCTGCCCACCAGCACCCTGCCACGGCGACTGCAAACAGCTCATCTTGAGCTGCAGCAGCACCGGACAGGCCGAGCCCTGCGCGTGCAAAACCCTCCGGGCCTCATCTCCCCGAGCCACTGCTGGGGTCATGCACCTCGGCCAAGATTTAGGTTAAACCTGAGGTGCTTAYAGTGCTTTGCAAATTCAGGCCGAGCTCTTCCTTCAGATGACGTTAAAGTCATGCAATTTTCACAGCTATAAAGCCTGGTTTAATCAAAGTTGCAATTAAACCTGACAGCCTCATCGTGCAGACTCCCTTAAATAAGATTAGGAGCACCTAAAATTAGTCTAATTTAATGTTAATCATTAATCCTTTTATCCACTCTTAATCCAATTTAAATGTCCACACAGAGCTTGCACAGACTTTGTTACCTCAGTTTAAAGCAAAATTGAATTAAAAATTATTTAATTAAATCAACACAATTTCTGAGTGATGCCATAGGAGGCATTTACCCCAAATGATTATCAGGTCTGTTCCCTCTACGTTCCCCTTGAAGCTCAGTCTCTCAGCATTTTGTGATTACATGAACATCTCCATTCACACCTAAAAATAAGAGGCACGATTTGTAGCCCTCAGCTGCAGAAAAACACTTTCACATAAAGGGTTCAYGAGGGAAAGAAAAGAAATCCAGCTTCAAAAATCGTAGGCAAAATGACATGATTCAAACCATTCCTGCTGACCTTTGCCTCAGGGATTACCAGTGTCAGACACAGAGCCGGGCTGTGCTTGTGCAGAGCTAACAGCTTGTCCCACCAGCGCCCGCAGCAGCCATTCCTGGCGAGAGTTAGCGCGACCTTGAACTTTCTCTAATTGCTGTCTCCTCCAGCTATCTTCTCTGCAAAGTTCATTTTTCAAAGCACTGCAGAGGGCAAAAACAGCAACTTGAATATAAGAATTGGCTGCAACCTTTGCTGCCAAGTTGGCAGAAAAGATAAGAATTTTTTATTTTTTAAAAAGACAGACAGTGAAGGGGGAGAGACAAGTCTTTAGCAACTTTTACAGCCAGTCTTGCAATACAATTTCCTAAGCGCATTCAAAATGTGAAAACGAAAAAAAAAAAAATGTTGTTGTTGGCAGCTTTTTCTTAAAGTGCTCAGGCTCCTCTCGCTGCTCCCAACACGCTGCCGCCCCCACAGTGGGGAAGCTCCAGCCTCCTGCTACGTGCGGGATGTGTGGAGCCTGCTCTGACTCACCCCCTCTCACATGCCCAGGGAAGAGCTCAACCAGGAATAAAACACAAATTGAAGCAACACAGTCATACGTGAGGCAGACCTTTTGTTTGCCACAGCAAYGCCGCCAGTTTTCACATGGCTACCAAGTCTTGCAGCACTTAAGGTGTTCCTCAAGGCCTTCAGCTCCCAGAGCACAGGTATATAAGAAGAAAAAGAGAGTTTAATAGCAAGTTTCTTTCCTTCCAGATACAGACATGAGCTTAGGACCAAGCAAGATCTAGGCTGGCTTCAATCATAAGTCAGTTCAATGATTTCAGGGCGTAWTTCTGGCCATATCACCTCCTAGATCTTTTTTTATCTGAAGGGAAGGCATTTTAAATCCTTCAAGAAAAGAAAAATGTGACTTGGATAACACAACTTCCAAAAAAATCCTCATTTTTTTTTGAAAGGTGTGTTCTTGCTTCTTCACCCACACTCAGAAACAAAACCAAGCCTCACCCTCGGTTCTGCTAAAGCCAACACAAGGCCTGCATGGACATCCCAGCCACGTCACTGTGGCCTGTTATGCTGCAGGAACGGGAARTGGAGACATCACTGACGTTACTCATTTCCCAGCATGGTTTCTGCTGGGCAGGAGCTAGGGAGGCAGCACAGGCTGGGCTTTCCCCTCTGCTCTGGGGACGAGTCCTCTGCGGAGCACCCATCTGCCAGCACGGCTGGTTGCCAGCCCGCGTCAGGCCTGAGCCCCTCACGGGCTCCAGGAACAGGGCACGGCTCGAGGAGGCTCTGCCCTGAACATTCACCAGCTTCTTCCTTGCCCCGCTGTGAGCTTATCTGCATGCCATGTTTATCAGTTGCTCCTTGAAAGCATCGCTGTTGCACCACGTCCCACCAAAGGCTGTGATTCCTCTATCCCGCCCTGGCAGGGATTCCCGTTGTCCCTGCCGTATGGATGAGAAGTCTGCCCAGACTGCACAAGCTGCGCTGTGAAATCAGAAGCTGTAAACCCCAGCAAATCCTCCTGGCTTTAGCAACTGTGTTAAGGTCAGCAGCCGCCTGAGATGTATATGGCCTCATATACAGACAAAGCAGTGTACATACACTGATACGGATAACAGCTCGGCCTTAGCGGAAGCGAGTGATGTAATGTGCTGCATGATACTGATGAAATATTCTTTGGAAGCAAGCCAGGGAAGAAGTGTGACAGAGCTACATTCTTTCTTTCCCCAAAAAGGAAATACACATTTCTTCRTTTACACAAATCACAAGGAGATTACACTTCCAACAAGGTGTCACAGAGTTTCAGTAGCAACTAYGGGAAAAATAAAAATGGAGTCTTAGCAGGTACCCTGTAGCTTTCACTAATTTAGGAATTTCCAGTCCCTTATCTCTGAGAAACTCAGTTACTATCACGTACTGCATGTAATTTAGTTCACGTTCCCTTTGCTATRAGCCACCTACAGAAACTTTTTAACAAGAGCCTTCACATCACGTGCCAGGTAACATCCTTATTATCCTTCACTGATGCCTTTTTTACTACTTTGTTCTTTACTGCAAGAAAGGAACAAAAGTCCAAAACATCTGTTTTACTGAATCCATCAAATTACACAAGTGTAAGGCCAGGCTCTAGATCCAAATACCACAAYGCTTTATGAGCTGACAGACAGATCCCTCTTTCCCCCTCTCCCGCAACTAAAGATCAGAAGTGGCTCAATCAGGTTTGCTCCACAAATGCATAAAGCCTCTATCTTTCTGAGAGCAGCAGCGGCTGCATTGCAACTCCACCAACAGAGCCTTGGGAGTGCCTGCAGGGGAGGAAGGGTTAAGAGCTCAGGATGGGGGAGAATTATTTATTGCATTATCATAATCGCAATTTTATTTTTAGCTTTTGGCTAGCGGAGCCAAGCGCCGTGGCGGGCGGCCCGTGCTCGTGGCGTGCTCGGGGCATGGCCGGCCCGCGGCACCGCCCGCCCCGCCGCTGATATAAGGCGGCAGCGGCGGCCGCAGGGCAGCAGCCGCAGAGCCGAGCGCAGGCGAGCGGAACCGGGCAGCCCCAGCGCAGGCGAGCGGAACCGGGCAGCCCCGAGCACGGCAGCAGCAGCGGGCACAGGGTAAGAGGAGCCGGGCGCAGGGTGGGCCGCGGGCGGGGGATGCCATGGAGGCTCTGGGGGCCGGGACAAGGAGGCAGTGCCACAGGAGCCTCCTCACCTCCCTCCCCTGCGTGCCCAGTGGCTGAGGAACGTGCATTTCAGCACAGATACGTTCAGTAAAAATTACACTCCCCCCTCAAAGCAGCACTGGGAGTATTGCACAAATAGCTTAGGCTGAGCGGAGCACACTGAATGCTACAAGAAAAAAAAACAGCTGGAATATCACTGACGTACCTCTGCCTCTCTCCTGTTTTGTAGGACTAGCATCTTGCAAATCTACTGCTGAAGATGGAAACCATGCATGAGCTGATCCCCTTTGCCAAAGAAATGCTCAGTCAGAAGCCCAACAGGAAGATGGTCAAGCTGTACATGCTGGGCAGTGTGCTGGCTTTCTTTGGGGTGGTTATTGGTCTGGTGGAGGCAGTGTGCAGTCCTTTCACCTCTCAAGAGAGGCTAGAGGAAGAGAGGAAAGCTGCCCCGACACAAGAGCAAATGGAACAGCAACAGCAGAATTTGATCTTGGAAAAGAGCAAGAAACCAGCATTGATGCAAAGGAGCCTGGTGACCAGACAGCACGCATCCTGAGCGYGCGGCCTCCGCAGAAGTGTCTGCTGTGCAGCCATGGAGAGAGACTCTGCTGCCCTGCTGTGCCCGGAGGGGGTGGTTCCAGCAAGAGTGAAAGATGAGCCAAATGAGGGGACTGCAAGCGCGAGACTTGGAAGTGAATGGTTATATTTGCTGCTGTGCAGCAGTAGGAAAAAATACCTTTTGTTGGTATAAAAATGTGCAAGATGCACAGCATGGTTTCTTATTTTTACTACAGATGCATTTAAAGACATTTTGCAAAATCAATAAATATTTTATATGGTACCAACGTGCTCTAGCTGCATTCATTCAAACTCTTCTCTTACAGATTTGCAAAGAGGACTCACTCACACCCCTCCGCAGAAGCCTTGCTCCTCTCGGCAAGTGGCTGATTTGACCTAGTGAAACAGTTGAGGGCTGTAACTCAGCCAAGGGACAGAGCAGTACTCACCGGGACTATTCTGGGACTGGTGGAATTAGAGGGAACTTCAGAAGCTGCTCTCATGGGAAATCAAAGTGGGTCAAAGTAGAGGGCAGGGGGTGCAGACAGCATATCTCGCACAGGTAACTGTCATGAACCCTAATTTGGAGGTAGGAAACCACACCTGCAGTCACACACATGACCCAGCTGAGCCAGCAGGACCCAGGGCTATTTATGAAGCTGCCTTTTACCCCCAGACTTTCTCCAAGCGGCTATAGCTATTGCACAGCTTGGAAAGAGGAAAAATCTGCTACAGGTTCCTTCACAAAACAGCTGCCAGCAGTGAAGAACAACAACACTGCTAGGTCCCTGCATCCTGGCACACTCTTAGGTGGGGAGCAAAGACAAATGACATGGCCCAGCAAGCCAGGAGGCAAGCAGAAGAGCCAGATCTGAGGTGCATACCCTAACAGTGCCCAGCTTGTTACAGGACTTTCCCAATGTTGCAATGATTCATGGGCTTAATCCTGAACATAAGCCCTGTGGCTGAAAGGTCCTGAGCATACTACAAAATAGCAGGAAGGGAAACAGTCTCTACCACTTACTGTTGAAGGCCAAATATCCCTCTTCTTCCCTTGTAAAGGGTAGAGCCGGGAGGCCAGAGGCTGGGGGCACATGACATCTTGCACAGTACCAGTGAGACAGGCCAGCAAGACAGACCAGCAATATGTGCAATACCCAACTAAAAGCAAAACTTATGTTACACAGCAGGAAGGATGGAAAATGAGTGGAATTTTCACTGGCAAAYGTGAAAGGGACATTCAGGCCTGAAGAAAACAACCAGCTGAACAGTACCCCACAATTCCAGCTTTAACAATTTGACATGTTTGTAGCATGTCCTCAGGCACAGGGAAGTCTAATCTGTTACTCCTCATGATATTCTTCTTGCACAGATAAACCAGGGACTTAGTATCTACGATTACACAAAGTCATGAAAATACTGCCCAGGCTTGAGTTCTCTCACATTAGCCTAATTCAGAAGCATCACTACAGTGSTAATTAGAGCTAAACAGATGATAAATGGATTTAACTCAGATGAGAACCACATCTTTGTCCAAAACAGCTGCAAATTCTATCGGATCCTAACATAATAGCCTTTCTTTACAAGCTACAGGCCTATCTGTATTGCAGTTCTCCACAGCTAGGAAATCCAGCAGGACAAATTCAGGAGCTCTAGATGAGTCCATTGGGGATGGCCTCATCCTCTTCTAAGCTTAGACCTCATTTTTATCTTTACATCTCAGAAAGACRTTTCTCCCATTATACTGCTGCCCACTGCCTCCTCTCACCAGAGTAATCTGGTCACGGGATTTATAAGCTTAAAGCAAAGAGGTTTGTAGAACAATGAAAATAGCTCCTAAAGACAGCTAACTGGATTAGACAGCTAAATAACTGTAACTGTGCCAACAGTTCTGGAGCTGACTTGGTAAAAACATTTCTCCCAGGACACAAACTTCTTCCTCCTCRCATACTGTAAACTGAAAGGTGACCTGAGAGCTCAAGCTAACATGTCACCCAACCTGCAAAAGTTTGGATTTGATTTTAGGCAAGAGTTGCTTTCTGCAGAGTGGCAAATTAGACATTTTTTGATTCTCATTTTACCAAAATGACCACATAAAGTCTTACTTAAAACATACAATCACATACTCAATGTACATTCATTTAACATTATGTTAGCTGCAATAAATAAGAGGACTCATTCAATGTAAGAGATTAAAAAGTTTTAGTAAATCTCTTTTTCCTTAAGTTTTGGCAAGAATTTCCAAATTCTCCCAGCCCTATCTTCACAGCCCTCCTCTCACCTGCATTTCAATGTTGCTACCACACAGATATGTAGATTGCCCTGGTCACTACAAATCACAGAAATRCAGCCTCACACAATTAGCAGGCTGTGTCCACACACAGAGGCAATGGAGCACAGCTCATCTATTCCAAAAGTCCCTTTGCCAATTGCAAAGAAAATCCTTAAGTATTGGGATATACCGGTAAAAAAATGGGTGAAGTGTACAATCAAGCAAGGACATCTCACTAGATGTCATATGAGTTTGATTTTTTTTTTCTCTTTTCTTTTGTAAAACTGAAAACTGCCTCCTGCACACCATAGCTTCAGGAAAATGGCACTTGTCATGAGACCTCAGGTATATTTGTGTCTATTCATCTTTCAACACTTCTTCAAAGTTCTTATTTCCACCTGGGGCCTGTGTCCTGCCCTTCTAGTCAGAGCTGAACACTACCTAAAATGCAAAAGCCCTTCCTTTCATGCCAAGCACATGAGCTGAATGTCTTTGGAAAGTCTTCACTCGCTATTTGTAGTTTGGAATCTGCGTGTTTCAAAAGCTGCCAGGCTAAATTTAGGGGTCTAGATTAGAATATGAACCTATTCCTCTTCTCCTCTTCCATTCAACACCAAGGGCATTGGAAATACTGCTAGTGGCCAAGATTTAAAGCAACCATAGTCACAGTACCATCAATAAAACAGCAAGAACACAACTTCTTAGTTATTCGGGTGAAAATAAAGGTAATGGTTAGGTCTATATCATAAAGAGGAGGAYCAAAAAGAGAAACAACCTCTGCATTTTCCAAAGAGATTCGATAATAGGCATTGAAAAGAAACCATTTTCCTCTTTTGAGCAATGATTAGTATCTTAATATTTGCATCTCCAAGTTTGACTTGCATGTTTAAACCTGCCTAAAACTCAACCCTCTCTGAGCAACTTACTCCTTCCCTGCTACACCTTGTTGCAGTGTCTGTGAAGAACTCACACTCCTGCAGCTCTGATTCGTTGCTCTGCCAATTTTTGGTGAAAATGGATTTCTTTCATGTCTTTATTCCTTTCAAGTAAGCTATGAGTTGCACTAAATGGCCCAGCTCATCTRTGCAGAGCAGTCAGTACAGCTCCCAACCATCACACCTCTGACAAACAGCGTTTAAAGCATACAAATGATAAAGAAGAGATCTGCAGTAAAGGTATTTCATGCAATATGATTTAGATGAAGCCTCTTCTAGCTGCCAGTGCCCGGATTCTGAGGAACTGCTTGCTTACAGCAGTGTCTGAGCAGTCAGTYGTTGCTGCTACCTGGCTATGCTCCCTGTTTGTCTGTTCAGTCAGTTCTTGGGGGTAACAAGAAGGCAGTTCTTATCAAATCTGCTTTGCCCTCTGCACAGTGCAGCCTATCTCAGCTGGCAGGCCAAGCTTTCACACTGACGTCCTCCTGCCATCCTCTCCTCATCCCAAGGAAGAGGTTAAAAACAAGTTAAGTTACATAAAGCAAAATAAAACCAAAAAAAGCTGTGAGTGGGAGTAAGGAGAAGCAATGCCCTGGAAGGGTGACAGAAAGAGTGAAAATCTACTGCAGGCAGTGAAGGATGGACCCCTGGCTGGCTCCTCCAGTGCCACCACAGCTCCTGCTGGGGACGCCAGCAGAACCTCTCCTTTACTATCTAAGCATGAACACAATAAAATGGCACATTCATGAAATACCATTTAAAAAAAGCTTAAATTATGTTCAAAATGGATACACAATATGTTGTTTCCCATAGAGTTCATTATTTCAGCTGACTTAAATGTTTTTTCCCCTTTGTGTTCCAAAGGCTCAGACAAAAATAAACAAGTCTGAATAACCAGTCCAACGCTCAGTCCCTGCTGCGAGCGCCGTGCTTTGCTCCATCCCCACCTACATGTCTCAGGTCCTACATTTCAGAGGTGACTGGAGTGCAAAGTACATTGTCGCTTGGAGCACATTACCTTTGTGACACGCTTGCAGACAGCGCAGAAAGGTGGTGAGTTGCTGCTTGATTATAATAACCTCATGCTAATAATATGCAGCGGTTTCTTAGAAGAGCCTGCCTTCCTACTCACAACACAAACGAGATCCCAGCTGAAGTAGGCTAATTGTTGCAGTTTTCAATGCAAAGAATTAAATGGCCACTCCATGATCGTGATCTAAGTTTAAAGCAAGAGACTGGGGAAGGGCAGGGTTCCTGAAATAGCGTTATCTGGCCAAATGTGGGTAAACTGCTTCTTATCAAACTGSGAAAGTTGAGAGTGAAGCACAAAGAGGGCAGGGGGAGGGGAGAAGGCAAGGGAGCTGTAAAGCAGAAGCAATGCCAGAATCAGCTATGCTCCTCTACCAAGTATGTTCTTAAATTAAACCATCCTTATTCTAAAGCTGCAATTAGGAAAAAAGTAACACAAACAAAACCACATTCTTTTAAATATTTTCTTGTGCCTCATAATGGCGGAGCGGTCTGTGCATGCCTGGTGACGCTGCACAGCAAACCCGATTTATTACAGAAGAGCTACTCCAAAGCCACCCTCCATAGTCAGTTAGAGGACTGGGATGGATGGAGGAGACAAAGTATTTCTAGCCAGTTGTTTTTTTTCTAGAAGGACCAGGATCCATTCAATATTTCTTAAGATCTGCAATGCCTGGGTAATTTTAGGAAATAGAGCCAGCCCCTGTGACAGACGAGCACCACTTGGTGCCTGTGCAGATCACTGCTCCCTGCTCTGTAGATGAGACTCTTGTCCTTTTAAGTACAGCTTTTGCCCATGTTCAGAAAGCACAGGATCTAGCAAGGTAATTTCACTAGCAAATTAGTTTTCACAAAAGTTCCACCATCTATAAATATCCCAGCATTAGACCTTTGCTCATAAGTAATTTACACCTGTTATATAAAATCTAAGGCATCTAATTTGCTGCTAAGTATGAGAAAGTGAATATAACTTGCTTTTTCT